TATGCGCCTTGGCTTACATCTGGCTTTACTTCTGCAGAAGGACAACATGAAAAGTTAGAAAGAAAAGAGTCATCATCAGAACGTTATGTCACATTACTTTTAGAAAAGAGTTCATTACCTTTAGAAACACATTCAGTATTTGAAGTGTGAAGACATAGATTTAAATACTGGCTCTATTGATTTCTAGATATTTAACCTTGGACAAGTTTCATAGCCTCTCATATTCTAATTTCCAAGGTTGTAATTTTATAGAGGATGAAGATGCCTGACTCCCAACCATGTTATAAAGATTAAATGAGAAGTGAATGTAAGATCACCTGATAAGTCCACAAAATAAGTTAGCTACCTTTATTCTTTCCTTTACATATCAGCTACTGATTGGCTGCTTGTTCTGGTGGTTCACTATTCTATGTGCCTTTTAAACATCAATCAATAATACAAAGATCTCTACCTTCATAGAGTTAAAAATCTAATTGGCGTGGGCCAGAAGGTAGAATTTGAATCTAAGTTTAAATGATGATAGTTAATACCCACATACAAAACAAGCCAGTTGACCTTCACAGTACACTTGTGAGGAAGATAGGGCTTCTGGCATGATCCCTAACCTACAAACAAACAAACATGTTTACAGACATTAAGTGGCTTTCCCAAAGTTAGATAATTTGTGGTAAATCCAGGAAGAGTTCAGTGTGCATGAATCCACGTTTTCCCACTCTGTCTTGCTGCCATAAGGCTTTGAAAAATGTATTTTATTGGAAGTATACTTAGTAATTAGAGATGTAATTAACTTGCTAACCAGAGGAGAAAAGCAAAATGGTAAAAAAAAAAAAAAAAAAAAATATATATATATATATATATATATATATATATATATATATATATAGTGTGCCTTGGGGGATTGCATTTTAAGCAGATCTTCATACAGAAAAATCAAACCTGTTTAGGTCCAAACCCTGTTGAAAGTCATTCCCACCCTCCTCATATCCTTCAGAATCAAATCTAGAATCTTTAATATACATTCAAAGATGACAGGAGACCAGGCTCATGATTTACCTTCCAGCCTCTTTCCCCCTCAGCCCGTAACTCCCAAACTCAGGCTGTACTGTGCTATCTTTAACAAGGATAGTTACGAGGTTTCAACTTTGCGCCAGTACCTGAGCTTAGTGTCTTCCATGCAATCTCACTAACCCTTACCATGAGCTTGGCACATATGTACGTTGCTGCTGTTTCACAGCTGGACCACATAGCTGGAGAATGGGAAGTCCACGAATAGGGCACACGTTAGACTCAGCAGACTAAGCTTTTCATTATCTTGCACTGCTATAACTTGAGCGGTCACAGCTTCTTGCCAGTTTGTTTTCCAAGTCACTTGGCTCAGAATGCTCTTCCTTACCCTTATTTATTCTTTATGAATCAGTTCAAACTGGTGGCCCCTTTGGGGAGCTTTCTTGAAACTCCTGCCCTACCCTACCTCCCAGCCCAGTTCAGTGATAATCTTTTGTTTCCTGAACACCTTGTTCTTAATAGACTTACTACACACCTTGCTCCAAATTATAATTACTGGTTTATTAGTACCTCTTGCCAAGTAAAACTGTGAGCTCCTTGAGGACAAGACCCACACCTCCCTAACCTCTGCATACCCAACACCTAGCACTGTCCCTGTCACATGGCAACCACAATGACTGTTTTTGTTGAGCTGAATTAGTACTATTTGGATACCAGCAAAATTTTAATTCAGCAGAGTGCTCAAAACAGATAAATACATGATGAAGCCGTGGATGTAGATTCTTGGAAACCAGGACTCTTAAGGGAAAACTGATTCATGCTTTTGTTTTCAGCACTTTGTACTGAGGTCTTCAGTATGACTGTCAGTATGAGAATTGTTTGAAGGGTTGAGGGAAGTTTTGTTCTGTGCATAAATGTGAAAAAAAAACACCTTGTACAATTCTTAGTTATTCTTCTCCTCCTGGCTTAGTGAGAGAAAGCGACCGAGGCTTGTTTCATTGTGTGACTTCCTTCCCAGGATTTATGAGTCTCATCCTGGGGCAGGATCTCAGAGTGAGTGCTGAGTACACTACCTTTGCTACAGCCACCTTTGGATAAGCCAGAGAGAGCTCACAGCTGCAGGGGAAATCTATTGCCACCATAACTCTTGGCTCATCCTGCAGCTTTCTTTCTGGCTGTGACAGAAAAATGGAAATTATGAAACTTTGTATCCTGCACCAGAGTACCACATGAGATCCATGAATCTTCAGCTCCCTTCAGAAAACCTGATGCTTTGATTACCACTGCCCGCTGACAGATTACTGTCCACAGCCCCATTATTTCTGATTAGCGAGGGTGAACCTTACCTACCTGAATGTAAGTAAATGCCAATAGGTTTCTTGAACTTCTCCATCCTTAAAAATCTATAGCCCTTAATAAAACATGCACTGTAAATAGTATCATATCATGAACTAAATCTTTATCATGTAATTGGATACATTTCCTAAGCTAATTTTAATTGCTTCAAGAAACTGCTTAACACTGTAGATCAATCCTGAGATCCGAGATGACATTTCTCTCACAAAATTAATTATTAATACCCTGATCATTTGCTTAAGACATTAATAGTTTTCATTGATCAGCACATCCTGTTTATCTAAAATGGCCTAATCACCATGCATGTCAGAAGAGTATCTGAACATACTCAATTAGAGATACTGTCAGCTTTCCGCCACATCAGCAGATCAGAAGTTAAGAGTCCCTTTTTTCTTCACAACATATTAAGTCTAGCTTTATCAGAAACGCAGGTATTTAAGGGCACAAAAGAAAGGCAAGTTCTTTAATGATGGTTGTTCATTTTCTATTAGCTTCCTGGTAAACGTATAGGCTTTGCAGTGATTGCATGGTTTAAATTAAGGCTAAGAGTCCATTATTAAGTAGCTTGTGTTGGTCCATGTTTTCATGTAAGCCTGTGTCTGCTCACAGTGTTTTTCGTATAAGTGGGAGTAAGATGAGAAACTCCAAGTTATTTTCAGCTTAAAAATATTGGGGCTCCCACAGTGGATACATATATCAAAACATCACTTTGCATACCATAAATATATACATTTATTTGTCAATTTAAAAGTAATATAAATGTAACATATTTTTTAAATGAAAGCTAAAATAACACATTGAGACCACAGTAATATCTGGCAATGTAGGATGCTGTGGAGTTTTCAAAGGAGTTTCATTTATTTAACCAGAAGGTTTCCCTTGAAACAAGATTCTGAGAGAGGTTGGATAGGGTGGACTAACCAGGACCACATAACAAGTTTCTGCCAGAGTTGTAAATAGAAGGCAGGCCTCCCAGTTCCCTCAATTTCTGGCGTATTTGATTAACTGATGACTGGGTAGCATCCTGCTCATCTTTCAGACCCCAGGGAGAGCTCACCTCCGTTATGAGGATTCCCAAATGAAAAGTTTCCTCCTTCCTTGATAACGGCATATCATACTGCAATCGTATGAAATTGTGGGTAAGAACCCTTACTAGAGAAAGAGACTCTAGAGGATAGAGATGGTGTTTTGTTCCTTTTGGGTGGGTCCAGTGCTTCACCTTGTGTCTGGCAAGCAGAAGATGCTTCCTATATGCATTCGCACATGGTAGGCTGGCAGGATAGGTAGAAGAAGAGATGAGTAGATGAGAGGAACCACAGTGAGAGTTCTGTTTCACTAACTTCATGTTGCAATCCTTCAGCACCAGAGGGCAATTTGGCTTTACTTGAGTCATGCAGTGTTTAATTTTTTTTTTCTTTTAAGACACAGTCTCCTTCTGTTGCCCAGGCTGCAATGCAGTGGAATGATTATGGCTTACGACAGCCTAGAACTCCTGGGTTGATGTTATCCTCCTGTCTTAGCCACCTGAGTAACTTGGACTACAGGCATGCACCATCATGCCAGGCTGATTTTTAAATTTTTTTTGTAAAGGTGAGGGTCTTGCTATGTTGCCCAGGCTGGTCTTGAACTCCTGGCCTCAAGTGATCCTCCCATCTTGGCCTTCCAAAGTTCTGGGATTACAGGTGTGAGCTACCACAACTGGCCTTAAAAAGTACTTTAAACTAATTTTCAATACCTAAACCTTAGGATATTTTCAAAATGTAGCAATATTTTCAACTCTTCTTTGAAAAGTTGTGGATGCCCCTCCAACCCTGGATCTGTGTTCCACATTACCCATCTGCTCAAGCTAAGGGCACCTGTTCCCTTAAGCAACGACATGCCTGCATTCCCCAGTATGAGTGTCCCACAGCTTCACTCAGTTACTTAAAAAGCTTTTGGTAAAGGTAATGAGTAGCCTCTCTTTACTGCAGAATTCTCCTAATTCAACATTCCTGGCTAACAGAAGTATTAGTGTTCCTAATCATGTTCTGGATTTATCCAAATGAGCCTAGTAGGCAGCTACTGATACTGATTTCTCTAACTTGGCACTGGAGCTGCATATTTCTATGGCATGTAAGAAGTGAAGCATGTGGCAAAGGGAAAAAATATTTGAATCAATGGGGTAGTCATAATTTTCCCCCACGATATAACTCCATTAGTAAACTTGGGAATTTCTACCTGAGGTCCACCAATGTTAACCCTATCTTGTTCTGTGGTAGTTCCGTATTTGCCTTTTTTTTTTAAATTTCTAATTGAAAAATAAATAAGAATGGAGTCTGGACACAGAGGGACCTTGCAAAGCATATTCCATTCTCATTCCCCTGCCTTCATGTTGGTTTATATCTAATCAGAAACTGTACTTGTCTTCACTCAGTAGCCACAGGAACACCTCAGCTCCAATCCCTGCCCGAGTATTATTTGCAAGAAAAGAATAGGAGGCTTATTTGCTTTATATTAATAATTTAACATGTTCCTCTCTTCCCCTCCAATGGTACTTTCCGACAAGTGAGTTTTATTTATATTCAAGTAAAGATAAACTTGCAGAGACCACGAGGAGAAATACTCCCAAATCTCATTGTAATGTGTCTTCTTTCCTACAGATTAAAGGTTATACAAAACTTAAGAGAAGCAGCAATTCTATTCACTTGTTATTGGACTTGAAACTCCCTTTGACCTCGGAAACTGAAGATGAGGTTGCCATGGGAACTGCTGGTACTGCAATCATTCATGTTGTGCCTTGCAGGTAGAGTGTCATTTTAAAACTTTTTGATTTAGAAATGCCACTGTATTTCACACTAATTCAAAAGTGGGCCTTCACTTTAGATGGCAATGATGAAATCGCAAGAGTGGACGCTACTATGACTAGCATTTGCTGACACTGTTGAATATACCTTCCTGATGGTCTTTTGGTGACTCTTTTCATGGTGTTGTATCCAGAGTTAGACACTGATGTTTCACCTGTCTATCTGGTCCATTTAGAGTCGTTTGAGCCATTATTTAGTTTGAAAGTTGTTACTTTTGCTCATCCCAGTGCCCATTTGCACAGAGATATGGGGCAGTAAAACTGATAATATAGTCTGGAGTATTGCCTACTTTCATTTCAGTGGATGGAAGTTTATCTGGATAGCTCTTTCAATGTCTTTGTTGATATCACTACATCTTCTGATACCGACTCTCATTTCAGTGTACTAAAGTTTAGTAGGAACTAGAAAGCAAAAGACAGGAGGTTTTTGCCATATACTCATAGTCAACTAATAGAAAAGGGATTTGAAAAGTTCAAACATGGCTGAGCATAGTGGCTCACGCCTGTAATCTCAGCACTTTGGGAGGCTGAGGTGGGTGGATCACCCGAGGTCAGGAGTTCAAGACCAGCCTTAACAACATGGCAAAGCCTCATCTCTACTAAAAATACAAAATTAGCTGGGTGCGGTGGCACATGCCTGTAATCCCAGCTACTTGGGGAGCTGAGGCAGTAGAACTGCTTCAACCTGGGAGGTGGGGGTTGCAGTGAGCCGAGGTCATGTCATTGCACTCCAGCCTGAGCAAGAGAGTGAGACTCTGTTTCAAAAAAAGAAGGAAAGAAAAGAAAAGTTCAAACATGCTATGTATTGCTTTCTCTGTTTTCTGGAAGATGTGAGTCTAGCAGTTGACATACATAATTCAAGTGCTGAGGCATCATAAGTCCAGCATGCACCGGGAATTGGGTTCCAGCTTGGGCTGCTGTGCATCATTCCAGGCCCTTTGAAATGAGTCTAGTTGACTTGTTCTGTTATTCAGAGTGTCAAGTCCAAAAGGGACACCTGAATATATCTGCATTTTTACAGCATGAAGCAAAAATGACTTTTGGATCACCATTACTTTGATTTATGCATTCACTCAACATTACTGAGTACCTTGTAACAAGCCAGCTCTGTACAGGGATCTGGGAATATAATCCTAAGCAAAGCAGACATGCTACCACTTTTTTTACAGTTCTATTAACTGAGTCCTGTGACTGCTGACAACTTGTTATGGTAGATTATTTACCATTGTTACAAAATCAAAACTAGTAATGGTAGTACTAACATATATTTCCACTTAGTCTATGCCAGGCACTATGCTAAGCACTTGTTATCCTTTATCTCATTTCTTTCTCCCATTACCCCTAAGAAGTAAGCATTTATTATTTTACTATATTAACTATGAATATTAATATTATTACTGAAGCATCAAGAAGTTAAGAAACTCACCCAAATTCACAAAGGCAGTAAGTGGTAGAGCTAAGATTCAAACTCAGGCAGACTATAGTCTTGCCTGTTCATACTGTACAGTCTTTTAGCTGTCTTGCATATTTGGCAAGTTTATGGTTGCAAATTTAGTTTTGAGAGTTTGGTTTTCATTCTTCTTAAGTTTCTCTAAATGTAAACCCTCATTTACTTATACACCTTTTCATAGTCTATCTTCATGTTTCAAACGTCTTGCCCTCGTTGAGTTCACAACATCTTCCCTGCTCCATGATTGTGAACATCTTGGCATCTCTCTTAGTGATATTATTTCTCTCCCTCAACCGGTCAGAAACTTCATCTTCCCCCCAGCAGTGTGCTCAGGATGTAAGAACTCAGTTGTTTTTCTCTGGCACCTTGACCCTCCTAAAGGATTTGACTGAGACTCTCGAGTTTTAACTTCTCATAACGACTCTGGTATAAACATACTCTTTAAGCCATGAAGTAGTGAATTGATTTCTCTTATTTGGCTACAGCAATATGTTTATTTAACCCAATGTGCTAAGTAAATATCAAGATACGAAAGGTTGAAAATCAAGGAAGGCCCTACTCTCTTCAGTAGTGTTTTGAAAAACTTGAGGGAATTCTCACCTAAGGTGTGTGTGTAGCTGTGTCTTTTTTATTCACTTAGCTTTTTGCAGAGAATCAGTATATTGATTGTTTTTGTGAGACTTTTTTGTGAACTGCTTTACATGGCATTAATATTCCCTTACCATATGCCTCCTTCAGTGTAGGTAAAGTCAAGCTTTAATTAACGTTTTTGTTTTCTTGTTATTTGTCTTGATTTCATTAATTTACATAGCACTCCACTGTCTGAATTTTGATTTTTTTAAACTGCTTTAGGCCAGATGCAGTGGCTAATGCCTGTAATCCCAACACTTTGGGAGGCCAAGGTGGGCAGATTATCTGAGGTCAGGAGTTCAAGACCAGCCTGACCAACATAGAGAAACCCCATCTCTACTAAAAATACAAAATTAGCTAGGCATGGTGGCACATGGTAGATATCCCAGCTACTCAGGAGGCTGAGGTAGGAAAATCGCTTGTACCAGGAGGCAGAGGTTGTGGTGAGCCAAGATTGCGCCATTGCATTCCAACCTAGGCAACAAAAGCGAAACTCCATCTTAAAAAAAAAAAAAAAAAAACTGCTTTAACTGCTCACTCTTTTCCTTTTGTGTATCAACCATAAGTTTTGTATACATCCTTAGTCTGAGATTTCTTGGTGAGTTTTTGGCAAGAAATATATGTATGCCTGTTATGTTTAACATAATTAGTGAATCTCACATAACCCTTTTTCTGATCTTTTTTCCCCAAATAAGAAAGGATCCGAATATATAAGCAGGCTAATCCTGCAAGGAATGCATCTGATAAAGTCTGTTAATTATTTGAGGGCATTTATTAGTAATTTGTGGTACAATGGGAATGTTCTTTTTTGCCAAATGGTAGACTTGGTGTCTAGTAATAATTTTCAAATAAAACAAAACTATCAATGCCAGTAATCTGAAAATTCAGCCACTATGAAAATTGGCTACATTCTTCTTCTTCTTAACCAATTTGAACTCAAGATCATAAAACTCTACTACCCAAAAAAGAAAGGAAACTAACAAATGAGTAAAACATTCTTTCAGAAGTAAAAATGTAACAGGGATTGCTAGTGACTGTGGAAAACTAGAAAAAAAAAAATTCCCCACTAAAATATTAACTTGTGCCCAGCTCTAATCCTCTATGACAGGCCTTCGTTTTTTTTGTTTGTTTGTTTTTTCCTATAATCTCCTAATTCTCTAGGGTTTCCATAATGGTAATGAATAGAATTTAAATTAGTTTAGAAAGTAAAAACAAAGGGTCTGTATAAAGCAAACCAAAATGGTCTGCAGGCTAGGTTCAGTTCTTAGTCCACCACTTTGAGACACTTTATTTCAAATGTTTGCTTTACAATAAGCTATTGTATTCTTAAAAATAGGTATAAGAGAATAATTCTAATATTTCTACTATAAAGAAAAACAAATATTTAAGGTGGTGGATATCCCAATTATATTGATTTGATCTTTTCAAATGATATGAATATGTTAAATTATCATATGTATCACAAAAATATGTACATCTATTATATAAAAATAAAAAATAAAAAAAAAATAAGACCAGGTGCAGTGGCTCACACCTGTAATCCCAGCACTTTGAGAGGCCAAGGCAGGTAGACCATTTGAGGCCAGTAGTTTAAGACCATTGTGGCCAACATGGTGAAACCCAGTCTCTACTAGAATACAAAATTTAGCTAGTCATAGTGGTGCCCATTTGTAATCCCAGCTACTCGGGAGGATGAGGCACTAGAATTGCTTGAACTTGGGAGGCAGAGGCTGTAGTGAGCTGAGATCATGCCACTAAACTCCAGCCTGGTTGACAGAACAAGACTCTGTCTCAACAACAAAAAAAAAAAAAAAAAGAAAGAAAGAAAGAAAAAGAAATGATAACACATGCACTTAGGCCTTAGACCATTTATACTAATTTTCTTTTGTCAAGAATGCACTTGCCTTAAATGTCCCCAGAACCCACCCTGTAACCTTCTTTAAATCTATGCTCAAATGTCACCTAATTGGCGAGGCTTTTCCTGATCACAGTAAATACATTAAAATAGCAATATTTATTTTGACGAACATCTTCTATGCTTTTTAATGCTTGATTTTTCTTCAGAGCTCTTATCAATATCTGAATAATGATATATTTTGCTTTCTTCTTTTTACATAAAATATCTTTCCCTCCTAGACTGTAAGCTTTATTTGGGTAGATACTTCTATCCTTTTAGTTCACTGCTGTATTCTCAGCATCTGGAAAATGTCTGACATATAGTGCAATTCAATAAATATTTTTCAAATAAATGAATACTACATCCTGGCCAGTCATGAGATAAAGAGACTAGATCTCCAATTTTATACTACATTTGTAGCTGTACTATAGATCCAGGGTGCTTTGTAGTCCTGTCAATGCCAACTCTATGGACTAGCCATCTATGATGATAATCCATACAAGTTTTTAAAAATTAGATGTAAATATCTAAAGTGTTAACATTGTTCTGTGGGCCTTAAAGTCTGTATCTTGGTGCAACACTGCCTCGTCCATTTCTTTTTTTTATTTTATTTTATTTTTATTTTTGAGATAGAGTCTTGTTCTGTGTTCCAGGCTGGAATACAGTGGCACGATCTCAGCTCATTGCAATCTCCACCTCCCTGGTTCAAGCGATTCTACTGCCTCAGCTTCCCGAGGAGCTGGAAGTACGATGCCTACCACCATGCCCAGCTAATTTTTGTATTTTTAGTAGAGACGGGGTTTCGCCATGTTGGTCAGGCTGGTCTGGAACTCCTGACCTCAAATGATCCACCTGCCTCAGCTTCTCAAAGTGCTTATAGGTATGAGCCAACACGCTGGGCCCACCTGGCACATTTCTGACTTTAACTATAGCTGGGGTAGAATTATTCCTCTTTTGTATTTT